CTTGATGAACTATAGCAATAGTACTACCTGTGTGGCCTCAGTCAAATCAAGTCACTCCCCCTCTCAGGATCAGTTTGCTCATCCATAAAATGAGGGAGTTGTTTCTCTACAAGTACACAGAGCAAAATCCTAATTTTCCAAGTTAACATTCTATCTTATTACAGTCAAACTCTCAACCTATGTGAAAGTATTTTTCACATACTTTCAGCATACACTTTACTCCAACACAGCTGAGCTCCTCACTGGTCCCAATGCATGCCCTCTGCTTTTCTGGCCTCTGCGTAGAACAATTTTCCCATCTCCCAAACTCTGCATGTTAAAAATTTATTTAATCTTCTAAGCCCAGTCCAAAGTGACTTTCAGGAACTGTCTTTGGTCTCCTTGGCTGCAAGCACTTTGTTTCTCTTTTATGGCTCTGGGTCTCGTTCTTGGAGTATTATAGTTGTTCGTATATTTCTTCTTTCTCTTCCTTAACTCTGTCATCTTGGAGAGCAGAGGCTATTCCTAAATCAGCCTGTATCTCCTGCATTGCCTTTGGTTCATAGTACGCACTTAGAAACATACCAAATGGATTCAGGTTAGGCCATATCAGTAGCCCTGGTTAAAAGCCTTTAATCAGTCTCTGTTTCTGGAATAAAGACCAAAATCCTTACAATGGCCCACTCCAGCCATTCCATCTTTTGTTCAATTTCTCAAATTCATTATGCTTCTCTCATCTCAGGTAGCTCCTGCATGCTCTTTCCCTCATCTAGAAAACTATTCTACCCCCTCCATCACTCCCCATACCATCCTCATGTTTCTACTCAGTCTTAGTATCACTTCTTCAAGGAAGATTTTCTTAAATCTAAAGCTAAGGTCAGTTTCCTCTATTATATGCCTTTATAGCCACCCACTCCCCATAGTTTTTCCTTCATAGCATGTATCTATGCTGAAATAACACGGTAGTGTGATAGTCTGATTTATTGCCTCTTCCCCATCAAACCATAAGCTCCAAGTAAGCAAGGAGGGTATGTTTCTATTTTGCTCACCTTTATATTACCTGCATGGTCTAACCACAGCATTGAATAAATAGCTGTTGAATGACTGAATTGATGACTGAGTTAAAGGTAAAGACTTGGAACTTAGAGTGTACAAAATCTTTGCCTGGCTTTCTATGATTCCTTCAAAGTAAAATTGGGATGCCAGGTAGCTCTCTGGGACAGGTAAGCTGACCTTCTATTCACCATAAGAAATTTATAAAATAGTATAAAGACTGCCTCTCAAATGCAGGAAGGAAACCAAAATTATCTTTCTTTGATAACAGTATGACCCCAGAAGACATAATTAACAGCAAGTGGTTTATTCATTCACTTAACAAACATTTATTAAGTACCTACTCTATGCCATACACTAGGCTTGTGGCTGATAGTACAATAAACTGGACTGATACAGCCCCCTACTTGATTGGAATATTTATTCTAAGAGTAGAATTTATATATGCTTAAAAAAACTTTTACGACAGTCACAACCCCAAAGGGTGAGAGATCATCTGGAAGAGGTGATTCAGAAATTGTAACTGGGCCCAATCTGGGCCTGTTAAATTAGATAGGCAAGTACCCTATATCCATGCTTGTCCAAGTGTGGTCCACACAGCAGTACTTGCCTGTGAACATTTGTTACCAGGCAGCAGTGACTTAAGTGAAGAAATTGAGAACAAAGAGTTACAATGTGTTACAGCAATTTGGAAAGTAATTTTTCTGTTGAAGGTAATAATAAAACTATGAGCTTATGTATTTTTATGCTTTTTCTTTAATTTTTTAGTAATTCATAATGTGTTTTACTAAAGTAGAATGGAATATTTGAAAAAATTGGTCCTTCACCAAGATAGTTTGCAAAGCACTGGAACAGCAAGTTCAAGATTACCTGGCAGTTTGTTATAATGCCAAATCTCAGGTGCCACCCCAGATCCTCTGAATCATAATTAGCATTTTAACAAGATCCCCAGGGGATTCTTTTGCACATTAAACTTAGAGAAGCACTGGCCTAGATGATTTCTAAAGCCCCTTAGAACCTTGAGATTTTATCATTTACTTCAGATAAAAAAAACTGCAGAGGTGATAACATCCACCTCATCATTTTATAGATGAAAAAACTGAGATCCAGAGAAAGTTATGTGTCTAAGGTAACTGGCAAATTAGCAGAGTTAGGAATATAATTCAAGTTTCCCAACAATGAAGTCAGTTTTCCACTCTAGCATACTGCATGCTCACTCCTATTCTACCCAGTCCTACTCTGTACCATACCTCAGTGATGTCATTATTTTATCAGAAAGTATCTCAGAAATGATTTATTCTACTTCCATATACTGTGTGAACCCTGAATCACCACTATTTAACTGTCTTCTTTATTATAATTACTTTTAACCCCTGCTTCTCAAATTTTCCCACATGCTTACTGTCTGACTGTTAGATGGATATTCTGGGCCTTCAGAAGGACTAGCACCAACTGATTCCTGGTCTTTAGGAAAAGAAAAGAGAGATTCTTTGTTCCCATCAGTCTACTTAATATCAGATAGCAAGCTTTTCCAAGGAAGAGAACACACACTATCAATGCTGCTTTAGAAAGTTCAGTACGTTCAGTTTTTGGCTGACAAACAAGAGAATGGAATACTAGACCATATTAATAAAAGCCTAGTCTCCAAAATGATGTAAATGAGGTAAATGATGACGCTTTACTTGTGGTATCGTCAGATCTGACACTTGAAGGGAGAGGTATGATTGCTGTCTTCAACTATCTGAAGAGCTATTATTAAGAAGAAGCAAATTTGTTTGAGATAGTCCCAAAGAACCAATGAATAAATGTTATGGGGAAACAGAGCTTGGCTTATTAACAGAGATAATTTTCTGATCATTAGAGTTGCTCAAAAACAGAAAGAGCCATCTAATGAGCTCTCTGTCACTGCAAGGAAGTTCAAATAGAAATGAGTGAACAAATTGAATGCTTAGAGCAAATTAAAGACCTGGGTGGAGAAATTAAGCTTAATGATCTTTAGGGGTCATTCCAGTTCCAAGGTTTTAGTATTCTAAAATTTTCAGGACAGAGTGACCCTAAACTCTCAGAAATAAGAGCAAGAACTGGTCTTAAAAGGAATAGTTTTTTGCTCAATGTGAGATAGATGAGGTTATGACAGTGGCAAAGGGAAGTCTTTCCAGGCACCCTTTTAAAAGGAAAACAAGCTGGCCAAGGAAAGCCCCTACAGGAAACCCAGGTGAGGCTTGACTCCTCAATGGCCAGTCACTATGCCCCAATCTAAGTTCCTCTTATGCTACACAAAGACTGGGGTACTATTTCAGCCCCCCAAAATGTCTTTGCAAACAGCACCCTTCCTACTGTACCTACATTTGCCTAACAGAGAAAGGTGCAAAATTATCCCAAAGGTGGCAGTAGCCCTGAATGGTCTAGAGCAGGGGTGGGGAATGTTCAGGCCATATCATTTAGTCTGGCCCTGCCAAGGTAGCTGCAGGCAGAACTCAAAATTCAATAAATCTAGGAGCTTTTTTCATAGCTAATTTTGAAGTTGATAATTTTGTATGGCCTGTGAATGATATTAAAAATATCCAAATGGCCATTGGCAGAAAAAAGGTTCCCGAGCCCTGGACTCTAGACTATGCATTCTGGAACCAGGTTGGTTGTGTTTTAATTCCCAATTGGGATATTTAATTACTGTGTAATCTTGGACAAGTTACTTAGCCTTTCTGTGCCTCAGTTTCCTCATCAGTATATCAAAAATAATAATAATATTTTCTTCATAGGGTTGATGTAAGAATAATACACAATAAACCCTCATTCCAAGATCCAAAACTTACTAAGTAGTCAGAAATATTAGTAATTAGTAGTGTTGATGTTATAACTACTATCATGGACATTTTAGTGTTGCTAACTCAAAAAAGCCCCGTCAAGCAACCAAGTCCCTTCTACCAGTTCAGAGAGGCTATACTACAAGAGCTTCAGCCAGTCCTTGCATAACTCCAGAGATCCAGAACCTGCTGTCCATCAATAAATCATACCATTCACAACAGGAATCCCGGCTCCTCACCTTGTCTCTCTAAATCCAACAGCCACCCCTCCCCCAGTCCCCTGCCTATGCCACCCTAAGCCACAGTCAGAGGAGCAACAAACTAGGAGCCAGTTCCAGACAAACCATCAGGAGTTTCTTCCCTTCAAAGGACACAGCTGGACCAAATTCCATGCTTGCTAGTGGGATGGGGTAAGGTATCTGACTCTCTGGCCTAGCCTCTCAGCTCAAGTACCTGGAATAGGGATTGGGCAGGCAATGGGGTTTCCCACACGGAAGCAAGAGAAGCCTCCCAAGTTTGTGAAGGAACTTAGGCCCAACCCCACAATGAGCCTCTTAAAGGAATGGGGGAGGTCTCATCTGCTTTTAAAGGAAGCAGTTATTTACAACTTTCTACACACTTGCATCTGGGGAAGGTAATAGGGAGATGGGGAAAAGGACTGCATGGTATTCTCCTTGTTTCTCATTTCCAGCAAGGAGAAGCAGCTGCAGAGAAAGAGTTAAAGGAGAAAGGAAGTCCCAGCCCTTACCGGATCCTAGTGCCTAGGGCTGTCTGGGGGTTCATGACAGTGCTGTCTGCTCTGGCTAGGGGCCACTTGGTGGCCTTCTGCAGCAGCTGCTGCCCCCTCCCCCCAAGCAATTTGCAAGGTCAATGCTGACCTGCTTCCAAAAAGGAACAAAACAATTCACTGACAATGAAGCAAATCGCCCATACACCACATCGCAAACACCTCTTGAAATCAGGTTTTACTCCACTGCCTTCCTGCCCAGATGCGGACTCTGCTTCCCCTACCCCCACTGGGATAGCATCACAGGATAGCATCACGGCTGCAGAGCCTGTCTTGCCTTCCGGCCAACCCAAGGAGACTCAGTACGCGAGAGATGCTATCGCTAAAGGAGAACTGAAATGGGGGGAGGGGGAAAGAGGGACATCTAGGTTTCTTACCAAGCGCCACAGTCACTTCCCCGAAGTGGACAGAAGAAAAGGATGAATGAATTGAAACAAGTTGGAGGTTGAGCCCTCACAGAGCTCGGCTTCCTCTTCTCTTTCTCGGGGTCTCTATCCTGGTCCCTCTCTCTTCTGTCTCTGGTTTGCCGGCTGGCTTGCGGTGCTCACGATCTCCCTCACCCTCCCTCCCTCTCCCTTCCTCTCTCCTCCACCCCCC